CCCAAAACCCCAAAACCCCAAAACCCCAAAACCCCAAAACCCCAACCCTTAAAATTCCCATTGAAAGACTTAAAACTGATTCTTATACTTCTTATTCCTCCACTCACCTAGCCTCTGTTCCTTCCTATTCCTATACCTAGTATCCCTAAAGATCCCCTGTATGTCCTTTTCAGCACTTTTGTCAAAATTCCTGACATCTGTTTCGAATTTTACGTTGGTTTTTTCACGAAGGATTTGAGCTTTTTCTCTGATTTTGTTCACTATTTTTAGTCTCATCTATGGAATTAGGGAGAGTTGTACTTTTTGGATTTGCTGGTTTCCTTCGTAGAGTTTGGACATCCTGTAGTGTTAGAGATTTGACTTTTTGATAAGTGATATAATGGTTATTGAGCTTTTATAGAAACTTTTTTGGTCTATGTATGGTACGGCAGAGGGAAAATACTCAATTTGCAAAGAAGCCGGTAGATTGGCTCTTTCAAAAAAGTATTACCTGAATTGTGCTACATCCTGCTTCTTGCCTGAATTGATGCTTCTTAAAGAGATATTAGAAGTCATGTTCTTCTTAGGGGTCACTAAAATGGTCAACATGAGCTATTACTGTGAGAATTAGTGAATGAATTTGCTGAGACCAGCTTGCTCACAGAATTGTTCCTCCCACCATTCGAGATGTATTTCATCGGGTGAAAACTTTGTCCCTTAACTAACTTCGTGTAATTATTAAGCGATGTAGTTCAATTTCCTATGTTCTGAGTGACTCTTGATGAGATCTGCCCGTCATGAGAAGAAGTTACTTTCTCATGCTCTTTGTTCATATGCACAGATTCGGGAAAACTAGAAGGTTATAAGGGATTTACTCGTAGTTGCCTTCCAGTTGATTAGCTTTCTCAGTCGAAGAGTTTGATATAAATTGAGAATTATTAGACTTTATGTGCTTTCTATTATAAATATCGTATTTCTGTTTGAAGTAGCTTGAGACCTTTACTTTCGGTACTCGAACTTTGAGGTTGAACATAAAGTCAGCATCTGGTATAGGCTCTTCCGCCTTTGAGATTGTATAAGCACTGCTGTCGTTTATTTGATGCCGTTGTTTAGAATAAACGGCATTTTTATTAGATACTGGAGACATAGGGTATTTCTCCCCGAATCCTAGATTTCCAAACTTCATAGTCGGACCATCTTTGATCTCGATGTGTTCTGTTTTCATGATTTCAGGTATTTTATCTAAAGTCAGGAAGGCATCATACCTATTTCTTTGTTCTTAAGCATATCGTTAGGTAGTATCTCATGCTCTTGAGAATAATTGTTAAGGCGTCTGTTAGCTAAAGATAGAGGGAAAAGATACCCTTGGAGAGGCTGTTTCTTTGGGTCCCTCTCTGCTTCTCCAGCTCTTTCTGAAGTATCTGTCTCAATTTCTCACCTTGGCCGGTGACAATTATTTTTCCCTAGAGATAATTTACGATGAGCTTACCTTTTGAGGCATCTTCGTTATTATATTTATTCCAAGAGGGGTTTTGGGGTTTTGGGGTTTTGGGGTTTTGGGG